ACCACCATATACTGCTGTAAATGATTGTAGAACTACCAGGGGGGAGGCGAAATATTTGAGTGAAAAATGGAATAACATACACTTTGAACAGCAAAGCATTAAATCAACATTATGTATGATAGTCTTTCATGTTTATAAACCTCCAAAAAACAAAAGCAAATTATTTGTACAAGAAGTGGACAAACTGTTCGAAAATATAAAAAATCCCTGTATATTTATTGGTGGCATTAACCTGGGTCTCCTAAAAAATTCACAAGCAGTTACCACATATAAAAATATGGTGAAGATGAATGGATACAAAATTCAAAATATAATCAGTCGTCGAAATGCCACAACAACAACTAGCAAACATAACCACCATACTTGATCATATAATAACTGATAGAAATATACAATGTAACATGAAAATAGAAGATCACAATATTTCTGACCATAGAATCATAATATTGGAGGTCAAAAAATCTTAGTTGAAAATACTAAACAAAAAATACACTGGACACCAGAAAATGGAAAATTAATAAGGTACAGGAAAACATAGATGAGAATAATAGTAATAAATTTGAGACACTGGCAGCTCTTATAAACAATACAAAAAAAGAATGTACTAAGCAGACCACAATAAAAGTGAGAAATGATAATTCGTGGGTTACAAATGCATATATTGGAAAATTAAAAGAACGGGACCAAATATATGTGAGATGGGAAAAGATAGAGAATGGACACACTGAGAAAGAATTTAAAGATTCGAAAAATAAATTTAATAGGCTTAGAATTAAATTACAAAAAGAGTATGCGGAAAAGAAGTTTAATGAAGCACAGGGAGATTCCAGGAAAACGTGGGCAGTACTGAATATTCTTTGTAATAGAACTAATAGAAAAATGAATATAAATCGAGTAATGGATAAAGATGGAAAGATATACAGCAAGGATGCAGATGTTGCAGCAGCTTTTAATATGGGAATTTTTCAGGCATTGGATTGACATTAGCAACTAAAATAAATAGCAGAACCGGGAGTAACGTTTCAAGAAGAAGAAGAAAGAGAAAGCATTTTACTACAACACACAAACATAACAGAAGTCGAAAAAACAATAAAAGAGCTAAAACACAGTTGTACTCCTGGTTTGGACAAAATAACAAAAAAAGACACTGAAACACTTTTTGACATAATCGGACCTAAAATAGTAGAAATTATCAACGGTATCCTGGAAAGGGGACAGTATCCTGAAGAATTGGAGACTGCAAAAATTGTGCCGGTATATGAAAAGGGCGCACATGACAATTTGAATAATTACCGAACAATATCACTGCTGAGTACATTCAGCAAGATTACAGAGAAGATTATAAAAACTAGGCTTGTCTCATTCATTAATACGCACTTTAACTTCGATAATCATCAGTATGATTTTCAAAAAAGAAGTAGTACACTTGAGGCAACAATGGATCTTCTAGAATATATCTCAAGTGAACTGAATAAACACAGAAACGTTGTAAGTGTATTGTCGATCTACAAAAAGCCTTCGATACTGTGGATATTGCATTGTTGCTAGATAAGTTTTAAAAAATGGGATTTCAAGGGACATGCCATAAATTTCTGAAAAAATACTCAGTGGGCAGAAAACAGTGCACCCAAGTTAATGATGAAATAAGCAGCGCTGAAAATTTATCTGTCGGTATTACCCAAGGCTCAGTACTAGGACCTTTAGAGTACCTTCTATATGTCCAAAGTCTGAAGAATGCTGGATTGAAGGCTGAATATGTGAAATTTTGTGATGATACTGTCTTCATATATTCTGGAGAAAATGGAAAAGAACTTGAAAATATTATGAATGAATATCTAGTACGCTATTTTGATTGGCTCTCCTACAATAAACTCAGTATAAATGTTGAAAATACAGTCTATATGGTCCTTCATCAGGTGGGAAAAAGAACAACAAGCCCAACAATTGAAATTAATGACAAAATTCCCAAAAAAGTGGAGCAATATAAATACTTAGGGCTTATAATAACAGACAAACTGACATGGGGAGCACACATTGAAAGTATTCATGCAAAAATTGCTCCATTCTTGGGAGCTGTGAGGAGGTGTAGACATATGTTAAATGAAAACTCAAAATATTTAATCTATAATAGTTTCATCGAGCCACACTTCATGTATATGATACCGTGCTATGGAATTGCTACCCTGGAATAGTTAAAACAGCTACAAAGACTGCAAAACCAATCAATAAAAACAATATTCTCTAGGCACTGTTATACACCCCGGGAAACACTTTATAGGCAGTATCCCTACCTAAAAATTGATCAGTTGAAGATGTTTGAGCAGGCAAAACTTATGTACAAAATACAAAACCACCCAATTAAAACAAATGTACAGATCACACTGAATAGAGTCTACTATCACAATTACAATCTCTCTCTCTCAAAACTCTCCCATCTATAGATGTATACAAACCTACAACAAAGCTCCACACAGAATATTAGAAGGACAAGAAAATGCAGGGTAGATAGAGGCTAGAGAAGTTCTCAGTTGTCGTCGAATGTGGAGGTACAGGAGTTAATACGCGAGGGACTTAATTCCCCTAGGAATCTCTCCAAACGCTCAACGAAAATGGTGTTCTTTAATAATGTGGGCTTGTTGGGAATGGATTCGTTGAGAAAAACGGCTCCTCGAAAAACCCACGAGGGGGTTCAAAATTCAAACTCAAATAAAACGGTAATCACAAGACTTTCGATTTAAATTTTTTCGGTATTTAATGGATTATTGCCTTATGCAACTTTATTTCGTTAAAATAGTGCCTGATGGCCGATAAGGTAATTTTTTTCCACGAGCACGGTTGTCTCAGGAAGATGGCGGTTTTCAGCCCAGGATCGACCTTGTCAGGGCGAACAACAAAATTTGGAAGGGGCGAGAAACGAAACGGACAAGATGAACAGACAGAGCTTTCCCTCAAAAAATAGCCAGCAGAAAGCGTTGGTACTAAACTGGTACTTCAAATTTAAATGAAAATCTCTAGTGCGCACTAGTTTAATAATTGTAAATATTATTAGCAGCAGAAACCTTTTTTTTAATGCTAGTCACCAAACTGTCAGCATTAAAGGTAATAATTTAACTTTATATTATAATTCTATTTGAAAGAAAAAAGAACAAGTGGCATTTGCGATGCTACAACTGGGGAGACTTCACTCCAAAGGGGCGTTCCCAGGGTGTCGGTACTAAACACTGGTTCAAGTCTGTCTACTGCTCGTCTCTGCCCGCTATTTATATTTATTTATTTTTATGCTGAACTGCAACGAATATCGGACCGAATCGGTGATTGAATTAATAAGTGAATACCGGGCCCTCCTTTCCAAAGTAGCTAGTTGACAATATTTTGAACAGAGACAGTTTCATGAAAACTGAACGTATGCTTGTATTTCAAAGCAATTAATAAAGAATAATGTAAATTTCCTATTATTGTGCACAGAGGATGAATTTTGAAGTAACATGTTTCTTAAATACTTATGCTTTTCTTGCTATTATCAAGGAAGATATCTGGAAGGATTCAATTATTAAATAGAGTGTCCCACGAAGTTTTACCCAGGTGATTCACCGAAACTGAAGCGGAAGTGGTGAAATTGGATGACACATGTAGAAGCGACAGAAAACGTTACCCAGATCCTCAAAATTTCAATTATATTGGATGACGCGTTCCGAAGTTGTCACCTGGGTAAAACTTCATGGGACACCCTGTATATCAGTAAGAAGAGAGTTATACAAAAATCTAAAATATCGATTGTTTGAAAACAGATAAAATATATAACACTTTCGCATACCTGTGACTACTGAGCCAAATACTTTAAGAACTACAAATTAAAGAAAACGAATTCAAATCAGATCAGGCTGATCAGCCTTAGCAATACGTCAAAGGCAGAAAAGGTACACACGTTGACATCAAGGAATCGAATTAAAATTCATGAAATGGATTTGTATAGGAATCGAGTGGTGAAGAAATCCACTTCGTAAATAGCCGACCTTTCCATAAATTGATTGCCTTCTTCAGGTTAACGTTGATGAGATTTTGGATGTAACAAAAAATGTTCGTATAAAAATCTTAACCTGCCAAGCAAAGTTACACGAGAAAATAGTAAATTACAGGAAAAAAATAATGTGAATAAGCTGGGATCTATCAATCATCAATCATTTAAGATTACTTATTCAAAAAATTATAAATATGGAAAGAATATTGACAATTTTTACTGGGACAAAGCTGGAGAATAGAGGGGAGACTAAGCTATGTCTGGAATTTCATATCAGCCCACTGATCTGAAAGATAAATGGATTGACAAAGAAACGCGCCTGATGCTGCAAATTTGTGACATCAATATAAGAAAAGAGTGAGCAGCGAGGGGAGCAGATATGAACAAGCGCAGCGCAGATACCGAGGCAGATACATCTCATATTTCCACTTGGGAAAAAAGACCAAATATTTAATTAAACTCAAAGTTTGGTACTTACTTATAAGAAAAAAAAAGCAACTATTATGATTTATACCACGAGTCCTTTCTTTTCCAACCGTATTTCAGAAAGCTTCAATAATTGTATTTTGGAATAGTCATTTGTATTTAAGAAATCCACATAGGAAAAATTGAATAAATTTCTTAAATACAAATGACTATTCTAAAATACACTTGAAGGCTTCTAAATTGCTGTTGGAAATGGTTTAGTAGGAAAATAAATCAACTCATATTATTTTAATAAAAATGTATCTGTCGGCTTCAACATAGTGTGCCCTAGAACTGAACATTTATAAAAAAAAAATGGAAAGGTTAATAATTATTTTATTTTAAAAACAAAAGTTTCCTTGATGCTTTTGTTGATTTGCCTTTTTTATATTTCCTCAAACTGCCTTGTAACTATTTTCTTGAATTTTGTACTCTAACTTTTTGAGCTGTTTAACAGTTGCATTTTTCCTTATGTAAAACTATTCTATAATTTCAATAAAAATAAACTCCTTTACAGATTACGGTATACAGCTCAGTTCCAGTCAAACCCTTGACATTTTAGGCGAAGACGTGTGGCGGATATATTGGATTACCTGGGACAAAAACACGATATCTTTTGGAAACGGCTCATTTCCCCGGAACGGGACGCTGCTCAAATGGAAAATGGACAAGAAGATTAAAATTGGTGAAATCGGATTTGCGTCTGCTTGGGGTGCATTGGCCGAATTTAGGTAAGGGGTAAACCAAATTGAATTTTATTATAAAGACAATATTAATTTGATTATATAAGTGTTGCCAACCTAAAGCTGTCATTTGCCAATTTATTTGAGGTACCTAAAATTTTTTGGAGATATCGATGCAACTGGAAGAGCAAAGGGTCCAAAATACATGGCATTTTTCATTCCATACTTTACAGAAAATTAGGGACATACTTTATAATTTAGGAGGCATTGAAAAGATTAAATACCTATTTTGTTACTGCATTCACCTTTTCAGCTCAAAACAGTTTGCAGTTTTTCTTTGTTACCAAAAAAATGCAGATCAAGCTCAAAAATGTGTTTTTATTCCAGAAAATTTATCATCAGCTATAAAACAACAAAGTAATGGTAATACAATGAACTAAAAATATGAAAAACACATAAAGTATAGGTCTATATTGTTGGCGTTCCTCAATAAAAATAGCCGATAAAAAACAGGAAATTCTCTTCCGAAAAGCAAATTTCTCTCGAAAAAACAAACAAATTTCGTTCAGTCACGACCCAACCAATCTTTGGAATTCAGGGTTCACAAAGGACTAATTCGCTTCGTCGCCCTCACCTTTTTCTTATTTAAATTTAACACTTTTCGCCTTCGGAATTCCTAATTTAATGATAACCCCGAAATGGAAAACCGATTGACTTCGTATTTAATTTGGTATGGTTCGTGGAACGTATTTTCCCAGTAGCCTCCTAATAAAACTTTCTATGGCTGTAGGAATATTTATTGGAATTTTTTTTTGTACGGCTATACCGTATACCGGACAAAATTGAGTTTGTTTTATGTTGCTATAAAATGACGTAGAAAGACCATTGTTGGATTTCGGGGGATTCGAATTGAAATTTTTGGCCATATAACTGATGCTGCTCTGCTGTAACATAAAAGGAGTTTATATGAAATCATGATATTTTAAGTCCGGTAAAAATATAGGATTTATCTCAAATCATTTCAAGTTTGGATTTTTTTTGTAAAAGTTTTAAAATATGCATCCTAGATCCGAATATTTTGCTTTTCAACTTACAAGTTTTTATCGTGTCTATGTTATATGTATAAAACAAGACTATCCATAAAAATGTTTCTATATTTTCGATTGGATTGGATTTCAACGCGTCTCCTCATTTGAGAGAAGAAAACTACACACTGCAAGCGCCTCTGTGTCTGATATTATAGTATAAGCGGTACACTCAAAATATTGACAAAAAGTAACATTTCTCGCAGAAAGCATGCCATCTCGCATATAGATTCTATAGGTCCATAGAGTCGATTTGACACGAAGCATACTGACCTCTGGCCCTGTGGATTTCAAATGGCTGCCTTTTTTTTAAAAAAAAAAGAACAATAAAAATAAAATAACTAAAAATATATTTGTTGTACCGAGTTTGGTGTTGTTTTTGGATGAAAAAATCACTCTAAAACCTATGGAAAAAATAGATAATTCTGTATGTTTTGTCCTTTGATCCCTAGGGTTGAAATTTGTGAAAAAAAAACCATTTTGATTCCGAATAAGTACTTTTATTACCATATTACCAATAATCCTGGTAAAGTAAATTATTTTTTAAAATGTGACACCATTGCCGGAGTTTCACACTATTGTATCATGGAAATGCGCACTGTTGAAGCATCTAGAGCGGATCTTAGGATTTTGAAGAATGAAAAGTGTGACACTTTTAGTGACGATTTTTTTTTATTGTCATGAGATCCGCAAGTTGATTCTCAGATGGAACTTTTTCGGCCATCTAATACCAGCTTACAGACAAAAAAGTGTCTGATGTGAATGTGTTCGGTTCGTCGATGGAACTTAGGATTCTGAGTCAATTTAATTGCAGTTTCATTGTCAACTTTCAGCAATGGAATTGACTTTAAGTCCAGAATTTCATCAAACAAGCGTTTTATTCACCCAATTTCCTTAGCAGCCACTATTTCAGCTTCAGTCGTTTGATATGGCAACTGAATTCTGTCTTTAGCTCAGCCATGTGATTGCCCTATCAGCAAACATACTTAAAACTCCTGAAATTGAGCGTCCTGCGGTTTCATCGCCACAATGGTCTGCGTCACTTAAGGCTTCAATTTCTTTTGGTACTAATGGTACTTCTGGTTTATATATCAAACCAAGCTTAATGGTACCTGCATAGGCAATATCTGGTCGAGTGCTTGTCATCAAAAACATTAAGGGCCCAACAGCCTCTCTATATGGAAATGTAGTTGTAGTGTTCAATTCTTCCTACCTAATTTCGTACACCTTCTTTCACCATTAGTGTCAATATAGGTTTACATTTTGCATTTCAAAGCGGTCAAGATTTTTTCTCGTATAAGCTGTTTGTTTGTGACTGTTCTCCTGTTAGTACGGGATACGAGGCCTATTTCATCAAATCATTTTACACCGTCTTGCATTGTTATCATCAGTTAGATAACATGATGCTGAAACGCACTTGCGCAGTGAACTATATGGGACTGGGGAATTTAGATAATAAAAATGTTCGAGAAAATGTCGTCATAATCGAGGAAAATATACAATTTCACACCGTCTTGCATTTACTTATTTGCCTTGCGTTCGGTATTTTGCTCAAAGAGCAGAGCGTGCTGAGCGGAGTCGTGATCACGTGACCAGTGAGCAATCAGAGCAGTTGAGCGCTGTATATAAGTGCCAGAAATATTAATAAACGAACGCGAATGAGACTGCACCGAGTACACTTTTTAAATAAACGAACGGTAAAATCAAGCTCGGAGAACTCGGACCAAAATAACGAACGCAGGGTAAGTTAATTTGTACACAAACAAAATTGGAATAACCTATGCAAGACATATTCCTGGGGGTTTTCGGGTTGTAATATTAGATAGAAATTGTCAATTTTTCAGAGGGGTGAAATATCATTTCACACCACTCAATTGTTGATTTAGATTAAAGCTTGAATGTAGAATAGCCATTGGATACTGATGCAAGACGCACTGTGAGGGGATAATGGGCTGCAAGACAGAGGTCAATGTGTTGTCTTATGAGGGAGGGAGAAATCATTTTACACCGTCTTGCACTGGTACTTATGGGAAAAATAGAACACATTGATAACATTTTTAAAAATACAAGACATTCTAAATGGGAAGAAAGGACTGCAAGACGATGATGAAGTTGACTAATTGTGACAAGGGTCAATCCATCAGGTACAAAGGTGAATACTACTTCAAATTACAAATTATACACATTAATTTTAAATAGTTTTGCTCTTCACCACGTAGAATAATTCTATTTTGCGAAATTCTCCTAATAATATGTATATATGAATGTTTCTACGGACATCAAATAAAAAAAGATTGAAAATTGTTTTATTTTTGACGGCTTTTAATCATTTAGGTTCTCTTTGAGGTGGATATCCCATGACACATAACATGTTTTGCGCACATAACAGATTGTAAGCATTAAATTTGAAGAATTTCATTTTAAAGCAGCAAAAAAATGTGAAAATGACACAACAAATGATCTGTCTGAAATTGTAAACAAAAATTATAATTCCTGTATAAAACAGACTCCCCTGTTGAGCTGCTATGTCAACTGTCCTTTTTCATCTGTATGATTTAAAAAAGAATAAACATTAAACGGTTCAGTAAATAACTCAACAGTTCAGTCAAAAAATTAAAATGGATTTTTGAACTTTTTTCCCAGATAAAACGTCTTGGACTGATGTAATACCATTTCTTAACATAGATTCTTTCGGCGGACATAAGCATGAAGTGGTGTAAAATAATTTTTCACTCCCTCATGAGACAACACATTGACATCCGTCTTGCAGCCCGTTATCCCTCTACAGGACATCTTGTATCAGTATCCAGTGGCTATTCTACATTCAAGCTTTGATATAAATCAACAATGGAGTGGTGTAAAATGATATTTCACCCCTCTCAAAAATTGACAATTTCCATCTTATATTACAACCCCAAAACCCCCATGAAAACGTCTTGCATGTGTTAATCCAATTTTGTTTATGTACAAATTAACTCAATAAATAAATGCAAGACGGTGTATAATTAAATATTTTCCTCGTTTATGATGACATTTTCTGAAACATTTTTTTCAGCGAAATCCCCCACTCCCATCTATTTCCCTGCACAAGTGCGTTTCAGTACCATGTTATCTAACTGATGATAACAATGCAAGACGGTGTAAAATGATTTGATGAAATAGGCCTCGTATCCCGTACTATGTCACTTATTTCGGCCTGGAGAACTCTCTTTCGGCCCTGATAAATTGTGCTTTCACACCTAAACACAAATCCAGGTGCAATGCTTGTATTTAGAAGTAGATGTCACATGTGTTTATATTACGTGCGTTTTTATTCTCATCGAGTTTTCCTGATGAATTCCATCACCGATGAGCGCCGATGAGCAGTACGTCATCAAAATTCATCGCAATTTTATTGATGAAATGAATCAACTAAAAAACACTTCGATGGATTTTGACACTTGAATTGATACTTTTGGCATTGATTTGTGTTGTTTGTTTGATGTGGCAAACTTATTATTTTTTTATTTGTTTAAAAAACCGTAACCATACAATGATTGGAAGTCTAGTGTTAGTTGAGAATAATTGTGAGCTCTTCATCATCATCAAGTGATGAGTCTAGAAGTTCTTCAGATGAAATAGTTTTAGTTGAATTGTAGAAAACATAAAAAAAAACAAAATTATATTTCTTCTGTAGTTCTTTGCATAGTGATTTAGATGTTAAGTCTCATTTTAGACTTACTAGGACTGTAGTGGAGGTGAGATATTAGAAACAAAATTATCTCTGAGACAGTTAGCTGAGCTTTAAGACCTCACAAATTAAGTTTGATTTGATATTTCAGATATATTTCTCACTTGTCACAAAGTTAGGTAATTTGGCGCTCTTATGCTCAGAACTCTTAGGTTTGGTATGGTCTCGGTTTTCACACCCTTCAGATCACTTGAACATGCCCTTTTTCCTTTTTTTTTGTTAAGGTCTTCGCA